GTTAGCTCAGATTAAACACTCATTTATCATTTCTTCATAGTAAAAGTATTCAAAGTCTTTGCTTTTACATTTTTTAATATCTAGTATATTATTGCTATCTGTAGTCACCCTACTGTGTGATATAGAACTTTTTGCTCCTATCTAACTATAAATTAGTGCCCATTGAGCACCTTTTCCCCATCCCTCCCACCCCACCCCATTCTCCCAAGCCTCTAGTAACCAACATTCTACCATCAACTTCCACAAGAGAAACTTTCTTATATTCTGTGTATGAGCGAGTGACCACCTGTTTTCTGTGCCTGACTTATTTCACTTAACATAATGATCTCCAGGTCCATTCATGTTGCAAGACAGGGTTTCATTCTTTTTATGTCTGAAAAAAATACATACATATATATGTATATATATCATAATAGTCTTTATCCATTCATCAGTTGATGGACACTAAAACTCATTCCATTTCTTGGCTATTGTAAGTAGGGCTGCAATAAATATGGGAGTGCAGATGTCTTCTCAGCATATTATTTAATTTTCTTTGAATAGGTACACAATAGTGGGTTGCTGGATCATTTGAGCGTTCTTTGTATTTTTGAGGAACTTCCACGTGGTTTTACATAACAGCTATGTTAATGTACCCTCGCAGCAGCAGGTGAAAGGGTCATCTTCTCTTCACAGTCTCACCAGTTCTTGTTATCTTTTGCCATTTTGGCAACAGCCATTCTTCCTAGAGTGAGGCAATATCTTGTCATGACTTTAATTTGCATTTCTCTGTAATTAGTGATGTTGAGCATTGTTTATATACCTGTTGGCTATTTGTATGTCTTCTCTTAAGAAATGTCTATTCAATTTCCCATTTTTTATTGAGTTGTTTGCTTTTTGGATATTTTGTTTGAGTTCTTCCATATCCTGAACATTAATCCCTTATCAAATATATAGTTTTCAAATATTTTCCATTCTCTAGGTAGACTCTTAACTATATTAATTGTTTCTTTTGCTTTTTTAATTTGGTGTAATCATTGTTGCTTCCTCTGCTTTTGGGATTTTTTTTAATCTTTACTGTTCCAATGTCCTGAAGCATTTCTCCTATGTTTTCCTCTAGTAATATCATAGTTCTACATCTAACATTAGCCCACTTTGAGTTGGTTTTTTGTAACTGGTGAGAGATATGGGTCTGATTTCATTCTCTTACATATGGATCAATAATTGGATATTTTTCCAGCACCAATTATTGAAGATTGTCCTTTCTCCAGTGTGTGTTCTTAGTACCTTTGTCTAAAGTCATTTGGAAGTAGATCTGTAGATTTAATTCCAGACTTTCTATTTTATTGTATTGGTTTATGTGTCTGTTTCTATGCTAATACCATGCTGTTTTAATTACTACCAGAATGTAGTATATTCTGAAGTCAGGTAGTGTTATACCTTCTGCTTTTTACTCAGGATTGCTTTGGCTATTCAAAGTTTTCTAATTCTGTGATGTCACTGATAATTTGCCTTCACTCTATAGTGCACTTTGGGTAGTGTGGGCATTTTAACAATATTGATTTTTCCAATCTGTGAACACAGAATATGTAAGTGAGGCCCTGTCAACAGAAGCAGTCTAGTGATGCAGAGCTGTGTTTGATCTTCAATTTCTTTATTTTTATTGGTACATATTTGCAGTTAATGGTTACTTTCATCATGAGGAATTAGTACATGTACATAACACATCCTAATTTCTTTCACCAATGTTTTATAATTTTCACTATAAAGATCATTTCTCTCTTTGATTAAATTGTATTTCTGGATTGTTTTTTGTTTGATTGTTGGTTCATTTTATAGCTACTGTAAGTAGAATTGCTTTCCCGGTTTCTACTTCAGATCATTGGCTATTAGTATAAAGCAATGTTATTGATTTTTGTACATTGAATAAATAGTTTTTGAAATGGAAATGATTTGCTTCCCAGGATTAAGAAATGAAAGTTTTTTATTACTATTAAGAGACTGTAAGGGAGGGTTTGTATCACAAAAAGCCTTTCATTTCCCTAGGCCATCAGGGATAATAACTGCTAACAGTAAGAAAACTCTACCAATATCCAGTCACTCACCAATTCTAAAAATGTAATATCACCAAGAGATTGGGAAGATTTAATAGAAATTTAAGAATGCAAAATATCTCTTAATTTTTAAAATACTAATTATCTCTTGAAATGCTGATATTTTGAGAATATTCACTTAAATAAAATACAACTTGATAATTTTTAAGTCACACACAGTATATTCTTTAACCACAGTGAAATAAAATTAGAAATCAACAACAGAAAAACTTTAGGAGACATACAGAAGTGTGAAAATTAAATAGCACATTCCTAAATAAACAATGGGCCAAAGAAGAAATCAGAAATTAAGATGACTCGAAATGTAAATGTAACATACCAAAACTTATGGAAAGCAGAAAAGCAGCACTTAAGAGAAATTTATAGCTATAAAGTCCCTTTTTTTTTTTGGTACTGGGGATCAAACTCAGGTGCTTGCCCTTGTGAGGCAGGCGGCGTAACCACTGAGCTAAATCCCTGGCCCTAAGGCCCATATTTTAAAAGAATGAAAGAGCCCCAATCAGTAAGCTAAATTTCCACATTAAGAAACTATAAAAAGAAGAACAAATATTCACACCCAAACAGAAATAATTTAATAATAATAATAATAACAAAAAATACAGATAAGTTAATATAACAGATAGAAAAAATGACAGAAAAAAATTTAGTTGCTTTTTTGGACAAATCAACAAAACTGGTAAATTTTTAATAAGATTGACCACACAAGAAAAAAAGAGAGAATCAAGATGACTGAGTAGGTACAGGAAGTAGTTTACAATCTCTCTGTGACTTGGAATAGACACAGCTGGAAAACAGCCACTCACCAAGGACAAAAAGAGCCCCAGGAATCAAGACAGAGGTGATAGGAAAGCTAAATATCACAGAGTAATAGAAGAGTGATGTAGAGAAAAGAGCAAAGGAGTTGCAACACCAGCACTAGCTCCAGGGTATAAGGGAGGAATCCAGCTCTGGAAGTGCAAGCCTTTTACTTTACTCTATATTATTATTGCTGCTTTCTCTTTTATTGTTAATGGTGGTATAGCTGTTGCTTTTAATTTTTTTTAACCATTTCAATATCTGGATTGTCTTTGTGTTCTTGTCACTATACAGTTTGTTTTCTCCTCTCTAAATGATAGCTAGGATTAAGATATCAAAAATAGGCTGGACATTAAGAAGACCCTCACATAAAAGCAGAAGAGATATCCTTCCCAAAGAATGCACAAATCCAACACAGAAACATAACAGGTATTAAAAAAACAAAGCATGTCCAAAGGGGTAGGGGAAGTGGGAAGGAAAGGGGAAAGGAAAGAAGGGAAAGGAAAAATTATGAGAAAAGGAAAAAATCCAAACAAAGTCTTTGTAAGTAGGGAAGGGTGGAGGGGGTGAAGGGATCACAGGGAATGGGGAAAAAATAAGAACCAAGATACATCATGTACAGGTACAAGTACCCAATGATAAATGTAGATGTATTGTATTGTATACCTAAAATGTACCAATAAAAGAATTTAAGCAAAAAAAAAAAAAAGCAACATGACTCCTTCAATGGTCTATACTTGTCAATAACTAAAATAGATGACATGCCAAAGAATTCAAAAAGCTAATTTTTAAAATGCTCAGTGACTTCCAGAATGATACAAATAACAGCTGAATGAATTAAGGAAGACAATTCAGGTTATGAAGGAGCAATTCAACAAAAAGATACAGACTCTGAAGAAGAAAGAAACAGAAAACTTGGAAATGAAAAGCAACAATTTTGAAAAACAGAGTCGCATGGAACATGCCGAATCAGCCCGCTGCAGACAGGCAGATCTGCGCACACCCTACCAAGGTCCCGAGTCTTGCGGAACACGCCGAATCAGCTGGCTGCAGACAGGCAGGTCTGTGGACACTCCACTGAGATCCCGAGTCACACGGAACTTGCCAAATCAGCCTGCACCCTGGCAACTATCCACTGGACCCCAGCCCCACTCCTGTGTACAACACCTGATTCCACACTACAAAGACACAGAGGACACTGGACCACCAGACCATGGTACTGAGCCCTGCTGCTCCCGGCCCAGAGGTAGGGGCTTCTGAGCCGTCGTCCCACTG